AATCACTTCAAATAGTAATAAACAAACTACAACAGAGCAAGCATTGAGGGACAATAAATGATGTCACCTATGTATAACTGAAATTGATTGACAAAACTGCCTATAATAATCATGTGTATGTGTCATTTATGTTCTAATGTGTGTACTATAATTATTAATCATTTATATCCTCCTATTATCACTCTATTTTACTATTGTTGAGTTCTCTTCGTTCAATACTTGAGCATCTCAGTTTTGTTGTTGTGTGAAACGTATATGAAACCTTGTGAGTCCCTAGCGACACCATAACGTGATACATTAGGACATGTTTTTAAGACATCGCTAGAATTTGGAGCTATGATATTCATTTTATCAGAACTGATAGTGACCATCTTGTACCCTTCACAATCTATCGTTATTCCTGTTGCGTTTCCACCAGCATTATATTCCCCAGCTTTGTTCCATTCCCCATTGTCAGATCTAGTGTGTATTGGTACTGTGTTGGACTCAAGAGCAGCATGGATTGAGCCATTGACGCCCACTGCTACATCAACCGGTTTAGCATTGGGTTTAATAGAAGAGACCGCCTTTCCCTGCATAGTGAGGACCAGTATACGGTCGTTGCCATAATCAGCAATGAATAGGTGTCCCTCATTATCACATGCTATGCCACGTGGATTATCGAATTGCTCTGGACCGTTTCCATTCTCTCCAAACTCTCCAATAAAGTCACCAGACAGAGCATACATCTTTACCTTGTGGCTGTTGGAACTGACTACGTATAAAGTATCATTAGCCACTACCACTCCCCATGGGTTTGAAAGGTTACCTCCAGCATTATCATTGCCACCAATCTGTTTGTAGACCTCACCATCTGTTTGCAGTACCATTACTGTGTGGTTATCATAATCTGATGCATACAGCAGACCTGTAGCATAATCAATGGCTATACCACGTGACGCTGACTTCTGTAGAGGCAGTGTTGCAATGGGTGCATCAGGATTCACTTCTTTTTTGTAATCTCGTGGTGGATGGGCCCACATACGAAATGGATCAGTAGTAACTAGTGGGACGTTACGTATTTTCACTTTGAGTTGATACTCGCCACTGTTGGGCACAGTGATTGATAGTGTGGCACATCCATCATTCTGTTTCTCTGATTGTGTAATGGATACTTTAGGTAGAGGTGCATCAGCATCATCTTTATTGATCAGCTCATACTGGAACAAGACATTCCCTTCCAATGGCTTGTTCTTCTCATCTCGTAGTATCACCTTAAAAACTCTCTCCTTGCCAACCAGTGCTTCTTGTACTCCTAATCCCTCAATGGTACAGCATTCAAGATGAGGCACTCCAGGAAAGTAACCAAGAGACTCTATTGAGTCAATTATAGGACCAACTTCTAATGATGTATTGATTATTTCGTTCTCTTGAAGGTCAAGTAGAAATCGGCTAAAGTTATCCAGTACACGGGTAACTTGTGCTTTAACAACTTTCTTAACTGTCAGCAGCTCCTCTGGTGTGTGGTTGTTGACAGCATCATTCATTGTCTCATCAAGAAACGTTAAAATGTTCTTCAGTTTCTCGAACTCATGTATTTGGGCCTGCAGGACTTCCTCCTTGCCACTGTCTATGCCCTTGCACCTCTCATGCAGTGCCTCTTGCCTTACCCTCACTGCTTTCACAAGATCCTCACATGCACCATCAATACTGGTCAAGGCTTTCTTTGAAGATGCTTTAATTTTTTTCTCCATCTTTTTACCAGCTGCTATTGCCTTGTCTAGTTGACCCATGGCACTGGTTATATCTGGCATTACCTTTTTGAGGTCTTCTTGCTCACTCTTGGCAACTTTCTCAAGATAGTCTCTCTTGTGTCCATTATGAGTAGTCATCAGACAGTCCCTGCAGACTAACTCCTCATCATCAAGACAGTAGAACCTCATTTCTTCCTTCTTGTGATCCTGGCATATTTGAGGTGGGTGCTGTATCCTCAGTGACTGTCCTTCCTTCTTTTTTATAGACTCCAACTCGATGACTTCATGTGTTCGCAGCTCCTTCCATCTCTGATGGTCAGCTTTGCATGTATCGCACATAAACATGCAGCAATTGGCACAGAAGGATGAGGCTCCCTTGTTGTCACAGCGATCACAAGACACTTTGCTATCCATTTTCTTCTTGTAACTTGTGACCTCAGCGAGATGGCTCAGTCTCAGGTTGATAGGCAACCCAGCACTTGCTTCTTCACCATTAGAAGATAAGACAGTCCTCTGTTCACATGTTGGACAGTGCACGTGCCTATTTCCTCCATCTGTTTTTACTTCCTTGTCAATATGCTTGAGGAGGCACTTCTTACAGAATGAGTGAAGGCATGAGAGCAGTAAAGGTTCTTTGTAGAGCTTGTGACATATAGTACACATAGGATCAATGACTATACTATTGCTGGGCACTACTTCATTTGAGGCCATAATCAATAGCTTACTGATGATAAACTTCACAAAATACAAGTATCGATCTAAAGCCGGTGTGGTGACTATGGTCTATAGCTAGATCTATGGAACAA